GTAACACGCGAATGGAGGCTGCATCATCAGAGGTGAAAGTCCCAATATGTACAAAAATAGTCTGTGCCATCAGCAAAGACAAAGAATGAGAATCCTTCTTAGTCAAATAAACTGATTAAAGCAAGAAAGGGCACTGCTGATTGTATTCCATTAAACGATTGCTGGCTCACAAAGGACTTATAATTACATATTTCATCGTTCTTTTACCATTAAGAATACGAAAATTTTTGATCAAATTTTCTAATTTGTTGTTTTTGGGTGCGAGTTCAATTACTTATAGATTGACATGGTTATATTTCTATTCTATTGTCAATAATGAGAATTATTGAATTCTATTAATTGAATAATTAATGTAACACGCGAATGGAGGCTGCATCATCAGAGGTGAAAGTCCCAATATGTACAAAAATAGTCTGTGCCATCAGCAAAGACAAAGAATGAGAATCCNGTAACACGCGAATGGAGGCTGCATCATCAGAGGTGAAAGTCCCAATATGTACAAAAATAGTCTGTGCCATCAGCAAAGACAAAGAATGAGAATCCTTCTTAGTCAAATAAACTGATTAAAGCAAGAAAGGGCACTGCTGATTGTATTCCATTAAACGATTGCTGGCTCACAAAGGAAAGAACTGGTGGTGGTGATTTCCCTTTCTGTGAAGGCTATCTAATCCAACAACACTGGGGTGGCTGTTGTATGCAGTTCCTTTCTTTCTGTTTCAGGTTTGCCCTTCTTCCCTTTTCAGGGATTGCTGGAAAGACCAACATGACTGTTTGGTGCATGCAGTTCTCTAGTGACCTGGGGGGAAAGTTTTGACTGCCTCGAGGTACTGCTGTCTTCACCCGAATAGAATGCCTTGTCATTATAGCTGCACTTGGTGCAACTTTCAGTCCAGATACGGCAATAGCTACCAGGCATTCTATTTGGGTGGGCTGTGGTACGCAACATGCCCTCACGTCTTTTCTTTTTCCGATGCTGCCTACAGGGGTGCTCCATCAGCATGTACAAGATTCAGATTTGATATGTGGCACAGTGTGGACACATGATTCAGGCACGTTGTTCTTGGTCAGCAAATGCACCTGAATTAACATTATCAGCAGAAGAAACCATCTCATCACATTTTCACCAAACACACGAGCAATACTGGTGTGAAAGAATTCATTGGATGTCAGTCCCGAGTTGTCAGTAGATTAAACGACCATGTCAGAAGTTTAAGCGACCATGCCATCAAACCTGGATCCCCAACAATTAACAATAGGGAAACGTACACCAACAAAGTGGGCGCTCGAACTCTGAAACTGCTTAAGGTTTGCAAATGCCAAGAGTAGTCCAAACTTTCGAATGCACTTGGATGTACAGATACCCAAGTGCATGATGTGGACCTGGACGTGTGGATGCCGAGCAAGATTCTGAATGGGCTATTTTCGCCCTTTTGACATAAAGGGGTTATTTCTGGCACTTATCCAAAACAATATTTGATTGAAAATGCAGGCAATCCCCATATCAAACCCCTCGAGGGCTAGCCGAAGTGTTAGGTTGTACCAGGCACACAGAGTTCATGCATGTTGAGCGTACACCTGGAGAGCGCTGCCAGTGTCAGCCGACTAACCTCCCTCCCTCCCTCTGCCCTCTGCCACCCTGCAGTTTTCTTTGCTATACACTTTGTGCTTGGCAAAAGCTTGGTTCCAATTTCGTTAAGACCCAGTGTGCCTGTTGCGTTTTAGAAGTTTTTACGCCATTACCCACACTCACGCCGATGTATCAGAACCTGACCGCATGAACTTGGGTTTGACAAAACAGGTTTGAGAGAATTGTAAGAACAGAGGCTGATGCTTTCGCAACCGAATCTGGCCAAGGGGGTCAGTCAAATACGTTGAAGGGCAGTTGAAAAGAGCGGTTACAAAATACACGAGCTATGAGGGAAGCCACAAGTGCTGACCCAACCCGATGTAAAATGTCAGCAAACACAATAGTTTCAGCATACCTGAATGAAGAGGACGCTGGCATTGTGCCAATCAATTTGTGGAAGATCCACTGGAATCTCAGCCGCCATGTCCCAGAAATGTTGAGCAGCCAACCTCAGCTGTAAAAGCCTCGAGTAATGGTCCTTCATACCAGCATGCACAACAGAGGTTCTGCACGAGAGCCGTTGACGAACTGTGTCAATTCCAAAGTCCATAAAGTGAAAGTGAGAGTGAAAGAAGTGTTATGAACGACATAATGCTCAGTGCATCCCCATTCATACAGCCGTCAACTCACACCAAACACACCCAAACTCAAACATGAAAGCGGCAGATCTCACACAAGAGGCCAGGATTGCACTTAGGAGGTAAGCTCCCCTTTCTCACTCCTCGTTGGTCCCGGTAGAAGCTTCAATTGGTTCTGGTACTCTTGCATTTGACAGCCAAAGATCCAGTAGTACTCCAGTAGTACTGGAAGCCTCAGGCCCTTTTTAGGCCTCAAGCTTCCAGTAATTGCACACAAATCCTTACTATTGATGATATTTGCAGATAAGTCCCTTTCCGGACAACTGTCAGAGATATCCTGAGCTTATCAGTTTAGGCCTTAAGAAAACTGCAGACGAATCCTTCCTATTGATGACATTCGCAGATAAGTCCGTGTTCGGACAACTGTCAGCGATATTCTCGGCTTATCAGTTACTTGAACTTACTTCCAAGAAAAGATCACACAATTGCAATCAAGATATTCTCGGCTTATCAGTTACTTTCAAGAAAAGATCACACAATTGCAATCAAGACAATGGCCTCTGGTATTTCCAAACAATGGCAACACAATTGCAATCAAGATATTCTCGGCTTTTCAGTTACTTTCAAGAAAAGATCACACAATTGCAATCAAGACAATGGCCTCTGGTATTTCCAAACAATGGCAAGGACATAAATGCAAGTTGCAGCAAACTTGAGATAGGCCTATCCACTAGTGTGTTTTGGGTCACAACTTAGCCCTGCAATGGACCCCGGGTGATGCAAAACCGCAGATCCAAAGAAATGAAGGCAAGGTCCAATGATCCAGACCTAAAGTCCCTGAATAAGGCAATCACTGCGGTCACACGAGGACTCCTCCTCCTGAAGTCAAGTCAGCATCAGAAACAATGACCGCACATCACCTTTATGCCAAAGCAAGTGCTGCACTCTCATGGACAGTGTAACCATAACCACTACATACAGAATTCGAGAAATACATGGGAAAACAGACAACACGAGTCCTCCTCCTGAAGTCAAGTCAGCATCAGAAACAATGACCGCACATCACCTTTATGCCAAAGCAAGTGCTGCGTTCTCATGGACAGGGTCACCATAACCACTACTTGAACAGAATTCGACAGATACATGGTAAAACAGACAAGGAGTCAGCAATAAGATTATCTCATATTTGCAAGCACATCTCTCCGCGCGGTGCGGTTCCGTGCGTGGCACCTGCCGGTATGCTGCACCAGCCTAGGCTACCATTGCTGCACAGCTGGACATGCCTGGGCGGGCACCATGGCTGTCTGCCCACCCAGTGTACCCTGGGCATGTAAGAGCTCCAGGGTTCTTTGTCTTCAGTGGGGCTTTTCTGTGCCCACCGAAAGCAGCCCAAATCCGGACTCCTTTCTGTGGATGGGGGCAAGGGGGTAGATACAGAAGATTGCATGACCTACAAGACAGATCCTTCTGAAGTACAGTCGTACTGATTCTTCTTTATGTCTTTGCCACACCACTGTTGACCAGCAGGTGGCGACATGACTCTACCCGACTTGTTCCCCCCCCCCCCACCACCACCCCAAATCCCAAAACAGTTTTCTGAAGGGGCGCAGGTGACCGTCAATCTGGGCCTGCGACACCTTTTTTTCTGTGTGCCGGACATCTGCCGCACCGGTCCGGTGCTCTCGTATGCCGCACGACGTGAGCAATTGCCCACACGGTGCGTACTTGTAAGTACGGATTATCCCTATTCACAACGAAAGACACCATGCCAAACTTAGCACCCTGCCGTACTGTTGTTTATGTTTCAGACTTATCAGATCTATTGTATGCCTTTTAGTGTGATATTCCTGTTGACCCTTCCCTTGCCGAGCATCGGAATGCCCTGCGCACCGGGAAAAAAAAAAGAAACCGGCACAGGCCTTGTTTTGGCTTCGCACCATCGGCCATTTTGCTCTGGCTGCTGACCTGAAATTTGCGGCGTGCAATGCCTTGCATACAGCCGCATCGGAGAAAAATGACTGGGAGACATAATGGTGGTTTAAGAAAAAGAGGAAACAAGCAGATAACATATCCATGCAAGTGCCCAGCAAGCAATTGAGAGGGACTGTCTTTTGGCAACCGAAACAAAAAGACAAGAAGGGGGGGGGGAAGAGCATGTTTAGTGGAGTGGATTTCCTTAGAATTTCCAATGGAAACGCTGCCCAATATATTCAAGTCTTCTTTTCAATCTCTCTTCAGGAGCATGTTAAAGGTTTTTCACAAATTGTCAGATGATTTCTTTGATTATATCCTGCTCTGACCGTGATTTCTCCATTCCTTTTTTTTTTCTTTTCTTTTTTCCCCTCACAACACAGTGATTTGAACTGATTTCTCCATTCTACAGTTAGTTGTTTCTTTTATTTCCTTCTATACGTGTGGTTGTTGCAGGCAGACAAGTTAGTTGTTTCTTTTATTTCCTTCTATATGTGTGGTTGTTATACGCGTGGTTGTTGCAGGCAGACAGTGCAGGCAAGATTAGACCAATGACTCACGTGCTTATTCTAAAGAATTAGCACCCCTGTTAACTTCAGCTTTTTCCTCAAAAGCTCTCCCTTTTCCCCCTTGCCTACCTTGCTCAGCACAGGGAACACCTCCTATAAGGCCGGAGGGCTGTATAGGGGAGGGATGCTTTGCTGTTCTCCATCAACAGGGGACGTGCCAATTTTCTGATTATGCCAGTCTGCCACAGGTAGTTGAATAGAGAGCATACTCAGCATAGTACTAAAACACATGCTACTGCTCGTAAACAGACCATGAGTTTGACTCCGTACGAGGTCAGATGAATACAATCATGCGAGGAGCTACCTTTTTGTAAACAAAATAACAAACAAAAAAACCCTTCCGCACCACATCTTCTGTTTCTTCTTCTTTTGACACTTGGGCGGGTACCTGACCTAGGTTGTTTTAGCTCTCGGCTTTCTTTTTTGTAGGATTGCGAACAAACTTCAGAGGAAGAATCACAAAGGTGCTATTCAATGGATACTGGCACAATCTGCTGGTATCACAAGGCATCATACGAACGCAAAGCAGGACGTCATACATCAGGCCTGTCGTGAAGGTGGTTCTTGTCCCTAGAAAAAGCCTTGGTGGACCAGTTGTTGCTGCAATGACTCCCCCATCCTGCACAGCAGTCACAACAGGCATAGAAATATTCAGTTACACATGCATTCTAATAATAATAATAGCAATGCAATGACACACACAGTTACAGAATGAGAAATCTGCTATTCCTGCAAAAGAGTGCCAAATGTTGCTGTCTCTGATCTGTTTCGCTAAGTTTTCCGAGGTTGGGTCTATTTTGCTGTGTTTTCCTGAGCTTTGTGTTACCTCCCGATGAAATGAGTTTTGCCCGTGTGTTGTGTGGGTCTTAAGTCTGTTCCCCTTATACCTGGCTACAGGCGGACTTACCCTAAATTGTAGAAGGCTAAGGGTTTGAAGTGGAGTTTGGCGGGAACCCAGTAAGGGGTTTTCCAGGAATTCAGAGGAGCCACTCCGGAGCCCAGTAGGATTCCAGTAGGTAATGATGCTACCAGACCCATATCTAGTGATATGCAAGGTCTAGGTTCCTAGTCTGAAGATAGGATCACTGACAGCAATGATATTCCGGCCAAAAGGGCAGGGAACAGATAGGCCCAAGTGCACGGGTACAGGCTGAGAGCACACAGGGTAGAGGGCTAGAGGCCTTGAAGCATATGAGTCGGTGCAAAGAGTAGTCAGGGTCATTCACTGACTAAGAGGCTGCCCCGGAGACCGGTAGGATTCCAGTAGGCAATAAGGGTACCAGACCCGTATCTAGTGATATGCAGGTCTAGGTTCGTAGTCTGAAGACAGGATCACTGACTGCTGCCAAAGGGGCGGGGAACAGGTAGGCCCAAGTGCACGGGTACAGGCTGTAGAGGCCTTGAAGCAAGTGTATATCAGTTGGTGCAATGAGTAGTCAGAGTCATTCACTGACTTAAAGCACCAGTACATGCCAGCTATCGGCTGCGGGCCCCTTTCGGAGGCTGCCCACCGCCAATTCATTTATCTACGGCCCTCAGCCTCCTAAATTTTCGGAGAGGCTCAAAACAGGTTCCCCAGTTGCCTGGGGCCATGTACTGGTGGTTTAAGACCGGTAGGATTCCAGTAGGCAATAATGGTACAAGACCCGTATCTAGTGATATGAAGATAGGATCACCGACTGCTGCCAAAAGGGCAGGGAACAGGTAGGCCCAAGTTCACGGGTGCAGGCTGAGAGCACACAGGGTACAGAGCTAGAGGCCTTGAAGCAAGTGTATATCAGTCGCTGCAATGAGTAGTCAGAGTCATTCACCTGGCAGTCATGCTGCTGCCCCGCCAAGAGGGAGAAGAGGTGGAGCTACTTGGGAGAAAGTCTTGTGATGAATGTGAGCCATATTACTCATCTCCTTGTACTACATACCAATTCGTGCATTCCAACGAATGGGGAGCTGATGCAGAAGACTTGTCAACACTGTGAAGCATATTGCTTACCAATTCGGGCATTCCACACAGACTCAGTGCCGAGGAAGATGTAGCAGGTGGCACAAACGGTAAATGGGCAGATGATGCAGAAGTCTTCTCATCACATGAGATCCCTGGAACAGATTCAAGTGCATTATCCCAAAGGCTGACCTGCCACCTGAACCACATTTCATGCAGAATACCTTGAAGCGCATCACCAACACCTGCAGGGAACAAATTGAACAAAATACAGCTTGGTTAGTGATGCTGAGGTATTCGAGGTTCATCCCACTGAACGACACGTTGACAAACCAAACTGACAGCAGACTCAGATTGGTCTGCCATCATCGAAATAGAAAGACGACTTGTGACAACAGGAAACAAAGCGTAAAGAGAGGAGTACCGGACAATGTACCTGCCTTTGCACCGATGGAACATTGGCGGCTAACCCCTGAAGAAAAGGTACATAATCCTGCTAAGAAAATTGAACACACTGATCCCAAGGTCTGGTCATCCAGATCTGGACAACCACAAACACGGGTTGCCAGTGCCCGCACCCATAACACAAGAACGATAACCAGGAGAGGGTGGGGATTGCACTTGCGTAGATGTTCAACCAAATTGTTAAAAAATGAAAAGAAAGCTCATAGGTGGTCAATCGAGTTGCCCATTGCAGATGGCTCAGAAAGGCTGTTGACTTACCAGTGATGACCGCATCTCGATTGGGAGCATCAGCTATCCATAGCAGCTGTTGGTGCGGAACAAAGTCTGCCGGTGACCTTGACATGCATTTCAGGGAGAATGACATTGCCTGTTCCAGACGGTCTGCTGGGACGTCCTGCAAAAGACATGCCGACAGAAATCCACGGTGAGCGCCTACTTGTAAACAAGATACTAGGTCACTCTGGGACAAGAAAAACACAAAGTGCTGCAAAGCCACCTGTAGAATGAAGACTTGTGAGAAGTTGTGACACCTGAGATACATAGTTACCTGCTACATCCTATGGATAACAATAACAGTATACCTGCCAGGAGGCTGACTGGTGTTCTCATGTAACTGTTGGTAAAAAGATCATGAGTTCAGATCCTGATGGATGCTATATCGGTTGGGGCTGACCCCTTGAAAAAGGACGACATTGATAAAGTGGATGACTCCAAGTGGAATGAAATGTAAACGGAAGGGCACAGCGTTGACTGTTACCGCCGCGAAGCGGCGGCCTATTTAATTTTATTTGGCGATCACGGGGTGCATGCAACCCGTGCGGCTGGCCCGGCAGGAAAAAACAGGAGGCATGCAGTATTGGCCCGTCTGGGAGTGTTATGCGTCCAAGACGTAACGCTGATGGAGTGTGGACACAAAAAGGATGACAATGGCAAAGATGCACACATGGTCGAGGTAAGCCAGAAAAAAAGATTGGCAAGGCCCGTTGGTAATGATGATACTCACACTGACACACACTGCACAAACAGAAACTGAACAGTATACAGAAAAGAAGACCAACGTTGTGTTAAACATAAGCTCCACCATAGAGATAATCAGTGTTAAACGTTCATCCTTCAGTGACAGTACTGAAACATCAGTCACTGAAGGATGAGTGTTTATATCTATGGTGGATGGCTTTTGTTTAACACAACGTCGGTCTTCTTTTTCTGTATACCGTTCAGTTTCTGTTTGTGCAGTTGTGCGCTAGTGTGAGTATCATCATTACCAACGGGCCTTGCCAATCTTCTGCCATGTGTGCATGCTGTGTATGCACCACAGCTTAGACACAGTAGTGAAGCATCAGTCACCACCTGCACAGGAAGATTTTTTTTTTTTTTTTTTTTT